AACGTAGTGTTAAGGCGCCTAAAAAACGCTCATGGGACACCATGAAAGGCGTTGGTCGCTCATGACAGCAGGACGGTGGCCATGGAAGTCGGAATCCGCTAAGGAGTGTGCAACGACTCACCTGCCGAAGCAACCAGCCCTGAAAATGGATGGCGCTGAAGCGTTTTGCCTATACACTACCGTTACGGGCAAGTGCGACGTGTTAACCACACATGTCGTCATTACGCCGTAACGAGTAGGACGTGCGCGGCGGAGAGCGCAGAAGGGTCTGGGCGTGAGCCCGCCTGGAGCCTCCGTCGGTGCAGATCTTGGTGGTAGTAGCAAATACTCCAGCGAGGCCCTGGAGGACTGACGTGGAGAAGGGTTTCGCGTGAACAGTAGTTGCTCGCGAGTCAGTCGATCCTAAGCTCAAGGAGAGATCTTATGTCGATGTGGCGTGTTTTTTCTTTCTAATTTTAATAATTTTAGATGATAAATAACGCCCTTTGAGCGAAAGGGAATCCGGTTCCTATTCCGGAACCCGGCAGCGGAACCGTTTCAATAATCGTTCCCTCGTTTCAAAGCGAGTGTTCGACGGGGTAACCCAAAGTGGCCTGAAGACGCCGCCGAGGGGTCCGGGAAGAGTTTTCTTTTCTGCCTGAGCGTTCGAGTTCCATGGAATCCTATAGAAGGGAGATATGGTTCGGAACGCGAAGAGCACCGCATTTGCGGCGGTGTCCGGATACTCTCTGCGGACCTTGAAAATTCAGGTGAGGGATGTACGTGGAGATGTCGCGCCGGTTCGTACCCATATCCGCAGCAGGTCTCCAAGGTGAAGAGCCTCTAGTCGATAGAATAATGTAGGTAAGGGAAGTCGGCAAATTGGATCCGTAACTTCGGAATAAGGATTGGCTCTGAGGACCGGGGCGTGTCGGGTTTGGACGGGAAGCGGATGCGGCCGGTGCCGGGCCTGGTCGATGCTCGTGCGTCTCTCGGGGCGTGCGGGCTGAATCCGGACCCGCGTTCCGGCCTTCCGCGGATCTTCCTAGCCGTAAGGTCGCGTCGGTTTCGTTTCGTGCGCGATCGGCGCGCGCCTGTACGACCGCCGTTCAACGGTCAGCTCAGAACTGGCACGGACAAGGGGAATCCGACTGTCTAATTAAAACAAAGCATTGCGATGGCCCTCGCGGGTGTTGACGCAATGTGATTTCTGCCCAGTGCTCTGAATGTCAACGTGAAGAAATTCAAGCAAGCGCGGGTAAACGGCGGGAGTAACTATGACTCTCTTAAGGTAGCCAAATGCCTCGTCATCTAATTAGTGACGCGCATGAATGGATTAACGAGATTCCCACTGTCCCTACTTCGTACTACGGTTACGGACTACGGTTCCGGTCGTTGTACTGATCGGACGTGTCGCGAGCTCGCGTTTTTCGTATATTCTCTTTTTATTTGCGTTATTTATAGTTATTTATGTTGTTTTATAGTGCTTTTGTTATATATACTCTTATCTTACTGTACAGTATAATATCAGTGTTAGTTGGTGCGAATTAACGCTTAAATGGATTACTTTTGTGGATTATTGTGACATTTTTACTTAGTGGGTAGTTGGGATTGGCTTCTGTCGTGTTGTTCGAGTGCCTTCTGGAACCTTCGGTGGCTACTCGCCGCCAGGGGGTGATAGTGTGCACTTCCGGCACTGCAACGCCATCTGCGGGCGCCGTGCGCGCAACCATTACGGTTTGTGCTGTCTGTGCCTGGCAGGGCCGGTGTGGCGTCTGTTGCGCCGCGCGCCGCTGAGTGGCGCTAGGTGTGTGTCCGCACCTCAGCGACACCTATTTAAGCTAAGTACTATTAACTGTGAAAGTGACACTTTAGCTATAGTTTTGTTGTATTTTTATTAGTTTAGGATATTGCCGCCAGATGGCGCCACTATAGTTGTAAGTCAGCGACATCTCGTGGCTGGGCTGTGATAGTGACACTTTTAGTTTTTAATTTATTTTGTACTTTATTATATTGTTTTAGTCCGAGTGTGTCCCGCTAGAGGGCGCTTATGTGCGTTTGACATATATCTGGCGACCACTTGGGTCACCATAAAATTTTCCGGACTTAGAAAATTTTTAAAATTTTTAGGACCTTTTTGCTGCTCATATACGTGGACTATTGAAAATGCCCCTCCGGCGGCTTAATTTTCAAAGTTAGAAAGCTTTCATAACTTTTTAGTTTTTAAATATTTCTTTGTGTTTTTTGGACTGAACCACTTAAATATTGACATTGCATAGTATAAGTAGGAAATTGTGAAAATGGGGGACGAACCCCCCCTATTTGTCCCAAGAAAATCTTTGGCGCGCACGCCCCCTGGAGGGGCTTCAGTGAGGCCTGCTGGTCCCAGTATGCCGAACCCTAAGGGTGGCTCGAGCGGTACGGCTGAAAAGCGGCCTTTAACGTCCCCGGATCAGCAGCAGCCTGTGACGCAGCGACAAAAAATTGAAAAAGAAAAGGAAAAAGACAAGAAGAAAGCTGGGACTGCGGCCCCAGGTGCAGTGACTGTAGAACGGACTAGGTCAGCGCTTGAGGAGGACCTGGAAATCATGGAGGAGGAGTTTGATGCTTGCAAGGCTTCACCCTTGCAAATAATAGAACATACAAGGGCGGCAGTAAATACGATCATGGGAATCGTCTCTGGTCCAGGATCCAAATTGAATAAAATGGAGGTAAACAAAGTTTCGGTAACCGGGCAGGACATGATTGCAATGATGGCGGCGATGCAGGTACATGTTATGGAGGCTCAGCTTGCGCTTTGCAAAGCTGAGCGGGACAAAGCAGAAGCAGAAGCGAAGCTGGCGCGCCAGGTGGCCGCGTGTATACCCTCAGGTGACGGTGACCACGCCCCAGCCGCAGGTCCAACATTTGCAGCAGCACTAAGGATGCCAAAGGGCGTTGCTGCCATGCCTATTCCGGAGAAGTCTGGTCCGGTTCTCGCCTTTTACCCAGCTGACGAGCAAGAACACCTCAAGACGGCAGACGATACCAAAGCTGAGTTGAAAAAGGCAATTAATCCATCTGAGATCAATATTCAGGTCTCTAAGCTGAGGAAGATTGGAAATGCTGGGGTTGTGGTCCAGACCACGTCCAAGGAGTCAGCACAGAAACTGAGAACTGCAGCACCACCTACCTTAAGGGTTGCAGAGCCTCGACAGCGCCAACCATTGGTTGCGTTGCGTGGCTTCGAGGATGACGTAAAGTCAGAAGAAGTCCTGCCGGCCCTCCACGACCAGAACTTTGGTGGGGATGAAAAGTGGACCCTGGAGGAGCTGAAGAAGCAGTGCAAAATTGCATTCAAGAAATCTTGGAAGGGGAGCAGAAGAACCACGGTGGTGCTGCAGTGCACCCCTGCGCTGCGGGATGTGCTGACCTCCAGGTATAGACTTTACATAGGGTGGGACGTGGTAGAGCCGTGCGATTTTATAGACGTCACCTGCTGCCAACGATGCCAGCAATACGGGCACCCTGCTAAATATTGCAGGGCAAAAGAGGAGACATGCGGCAAATGTGGAGAAGAGGGTCACAGCCGAGAGGCCTGCAAATCAGCCGACACTTGCTGTGCTACTTGTCGCAGGTTTGGCAAGCCGGGCGCAAGGAACCATGCCACGATGGCGAAGACGTGCCCGGCTAGGGTATACGCGGAGGAGAGGGCGGTCAACACTACACAGTATGGCGGATAAAAATTACTTATCAATTGGACAGCTCAATTTGGGGCGCGGCGAGATGGCCACCAAGGAGCTCCCTGCACTTGCGAGGGACCTGGACTTGGATATTTTCCTAGTCCAGGAACAGTGGCCGCAGGTGCAGGAAGTAGTACAGTTCGGCGATGGATCGCAGGCTGGCATCAAGGTCTGCAACGGAAATTTGGGTGTGGCTGGATTGCCTCACCTAAGTAATCCCTACTGTGTAGTGTGCCATGTGGAGAAGTACGGTCTCTACATCGTCTCGGCTTATTTTAAATATAGCCATAACATTGATTATCACCTGCAACATCTAGAGACCGTACTTGACCAGTTGAAAGGCAAGCGCGTTGTAATTGGAGTGGATTGCAACGCGCACTCGCCACTCTGGTTCAGTGAGGCTGAACAGATCGTAGGTAGGGGCCATGAAGCTGCTTACCGTCGTACTGCCATGGAGGATTTTATAACGTCGCGGGGATTGGTGATAGTCAACGTGGAAGGCCAACCGAGCACCTTTTCGGGTGCAATGGGTGAGTCCAATATAGATGTCACTCTTTCCTCCAGAGGAGTCTCGATCACAGGGTGGCGAGTCCTGGACTGCGTCAGCTCGAGCGACCATCGGCTCATAATATACAAAGTTGGAGGAGAACCACATGCGAGGCTCCCGGGGCCGGTGGAGGTCCCTGCCCGTTTTCGGGACCGGGGGGTGAACTGGGGCTTCTTTCGTGGAACTATTCATGTACGAATGGGCGCATTGAAAGTAAGGCAGCCGGCTGATCGTCTTTGTGTGCAGTTCACTGACATTGTGGTTCGATCTGCGGAAGATGTCCTGGGGAGTGCTCGCCCTAGACGGGAGGTCGGCTATGAGTGGTGGACGCCTGAACTTGACAGAATGAGGAAAAAAGTATGTGATGCGAGAAGGGCATGGCAAAAGACTAGAAGAAAAGGAGGCAGGTCTGAGGAATTAGCTATGGAACGATTCCATAGTGTGAGAGCGCGATATAGACAGTTGATGGGGGATACGGAATTGGCCCATTTTAGAAAAATCTCGGAGATGGGAAATGCTGACCCATGGGGACGTGCATATCAGATCTCTAGCGGGAGATATCGTCCTCCCAGTAATATCATTAATGCCATTGAGTACGCGGAGCGACATTCGGGGGGGGTGAGGGAGGCCGTGCGGGGCCTGCTCGGGGCTCTGTGTCCGGACGATGATTCGTCCAAGGACACTGAGTTTCATGGGCGGGTGCGTCTCATGGCCGCCTTCACCCCATCTGGATCGGCTGCCGTTCCCCCAACCATTGGGTGTTTGGGGGGTATAGTCAGGGCGTTGCCCAACACTGCTCCGGGACTGGACGGGATTGGTGCCAAAATTGTTAAGAATGTGTGGAGAGCTGCACCTAGGGAATTCCACTGGGTGTATGCCAAATGTGTGGAAGAGGGGGTTTTCCCCGAAGTATGGAAGAAAGGACGGCTGATAGTTATTCCGAAAGGTAATGATAGGCCATTAACAGATCCCAAGGCCTACCGCCCGATTACGCTCCTCCCCATCTTTGGGAAGTTGCTGGAGCGAGTTCTGCTGCGGTGTGCTCCGAGCTTGGTGAGGGGCATATCGGAATACCAGCACGGGTTTTCGCCGGGTCGGTCCACGGTAACGGCGCTGCAAGACGTGCTTAGTACTGCGCGCGAGTCGCAGCGCAAGTATGTACAAGCCGTCTTTTTGGACATATCAGGAGCATTTGATAATGCATGGTGGCCAATGATACTGCTGAAGGCAAAACAAGGAGGGATTCCACCTAATATCTACCGCATGTTGGTGGACTATTTCACCAACAGGCGAGTGGGTATATTCGTGGGTGACTGTGCCGAATGGAAACGCTCGACCATGGGTTGCCCGCAGGGATCGGTCCTTGGACCGACCTTGTGGAATTTACTGCTGGATGATTTGTTGAGGCTGCCGTTCCCCTTAGGGACGAAAATGTTGGCGTATGCAGACGACGTGACACTTTTGATAGAGGCGAACTCTAGAGCTGAAATAGAGAGAGCGGCCAAATCTGCACTGGAGTTGGTATCATCGTGGGGAGAGAGGAATCGGTTATCCTTCTCCTCCGCGAAGTCATGTACCATGACCATTAAAGGCAAGTTCCAGCGACCACCTGTTATAAGGATGGGGACTGAGTCAGTTAAAAGCGTAACGTCGACCAAGGTATTGGGTGTCACGTTAGACACGAGTCTGTTCTTTATTCAGCACGCCAAAGATATGGGAGAGAGGGCTGGGCGATGCTTTGGGAAGATGTCGCGGGTGTCGGCATCTTCTTGGGGCATACGCTACCCCGCACTCCGTGTTCTATATAAGGGTACATATGTTCCAATAGTGACATATGCTGCAGCCGTTTGGGTTGATCGGGTGGGGAACTATACAGTGCGAACGGCACTGCTGAGATCGCAGAGATCTTCGCTCGTGCTGTTGACAAAGGGGTACAGGACGATAAGTACTGCGGCGCTCCCGGTATTAGCCGGCGTCCTGCCGGCCGATCTGGAGGTAACTCGTGTTGGTAGGATTGACCAGGCGCGTAGAAACGTTGAGAATGGGGAGTTGAGCAGGCGTAAGCGCGAAATCTGGGTTGAAGTTATGGATGTATGGCAGGAACGATGGATGAACGAGACGAATGGAAGAGAGTTATTCTGCTTCTTCCCGGACGTGTCGGCGCGGCTCAATGCGAATTGGGTCGTGCCGGACTATCAAGTCTCGCAGATACTCAGTGGGCATGGATGTTTTCGAAAGAGACTGCATGACATGAAATTGGTTGAATCTGGTATGTGTGATTGCGGTGCTGCCTATGAGGATAGGCATCACGTGCTATGGGAGTGCGAATTGTATGTTGACCTGAGATGTAAGATGATGGACGGAATGGTACGCAGAGGGGTGGGTCCGGTTTACTACCCGGACCTCGTGGACGGTAAGGAGAACTTTGGCCGGCTGCGGGAGTTTGCGCATGGTTGGCATGCGCGGAGAATTGCGATGGAGAGGAACGAAGTAAGGATTCTGCCCGGAACCGAAGGCGTAACGTGTTCGTCCAGCCCAGAAAGGGAGAGTGACACTACGGGACAAGGAGTAGATTAAATAACTTGTAGAGAGTCAAGAAAGTGCATGCGGGAAAGAGCCCTGAGCAAGTACCGCGTGCATCTCTCGAGATTCGGCCCGTATAACCGTAAGGTTGGTGGGGCCATGGGAGGTGGAGGGTTGTCCCTATCTACTAAGGAGAAAGAAGGGTACGAGTGGTGGTCTCCGGCTCTTGACCGAATGCGTAACGAGGTCTATTGTGCACGTCGTAAGTGGCAGGCCTCACGTCGCATAGGAGGCGACAGGGAGAAGGCTCTTCAAGATTATCTCCGACGAACCAGGATACGCTACAAGCTAGCTATGAAGGAAGCTGAACTTGCCTTCTTCCGCTCTGTCGCGGAATCAGGTAACGCCGATCCGTGGGGCCTGGCTTACCGAACAGCCAGTGGACGTTTTCGTCCACCTCTCAACGTGCTAAATGGAGTGAGATTAGCTGACGGCTATACTAGGACGACCGGAGACACCATGCTTGGCCTCGTCAATGCCTTATGCCCAGACGATAATCTAGCCAGGGACACTGTATACCATCGACAAGTGCGGATCGCTGCTGCATGTGCTCCATCTGGAACTGATGCTACTCCACCGACCAAAGAACAAGTTGGACTCATCATTCGAGAACTGCCGAACACTGCACCCGGCATTGACGGAATCACGGCTAAGATTGTTAGACAGGCA